TAAACCATTTCGAAAATGTTGACAAGTATCACACAAGTCAGTCCTTGGACTCATAATTTGAATTTCTGGTGTCAATTGATGTCATAACTTTCTGAATGAATCATATTTTAAAGATTTCAACTTGTTGTTTTCTTCCAGACCAGCTAGAAAAACTCTATGGACTAATTTATAACTCACTTCAGCTGGTAAGAATATAACTGATTGGGTTATTCTATTGATACTTCTTCCTGGACTTGGTAATCCATGGACTTCTGCATAATTTTCTAGAAAATTCTTTACTACCACTGCAACACTTTTGTCAATCACCATTTTAGTTTTCCATTACCATGAACTCTTGGTAAAAGGCCATTGCTTATTAGGTGATTTCTGATATTTTCAAAATAAGACCTACCAATTCCTAACATATTGAGATAAGTTTCTTGACAAAGAAGTGTATTGTGATCCCAGTGGTAGAAAGTTCTTTTATTAGATCTAGTTTTCTTTTTAAGGTGTCTACTACTGCTTGTTAATCCACCATCCATTGCCCTAAGTTGGCCCATTAAAAATATGTCTTGTTCAGACTTAGAAAGTGCTTGAAAGGATTCCCTTAATTCTGCAAATTGTTCCTTAGGAATTCTTGAAGAACAATCACAACCACAACCTTTTTCTAAAAAATCAATTGCTTTTTGATATTCATTAGAACCATTATAATTATTATTTTTCATATATATATATGTAATTTTATGTTCACTTTGTAGGTTTTTTTTTACAATGACTTATCTATTAAAATTATAAAATTGGCTGGAATTAAAAGTTTTAGGAAAGGTAGTTTGAGTACAATTGATTAGAAACAATAATCAAAAACCCATTAATGCAAAATCATGTATTTATTCTACAGTTGTTTGTCATAATTGCCTCTCTTAATAAATGATCATTGCAGTATTTGTAATGCCATAATTCTGCTATAATTACCATAATTAATTTTATTAGTAGCCAAAATTATATTCAAAATTATTTGAATTCTTTGATCCAACAGTCAAAATATTGGGTGGTTTTTTATGTCCATTAATATAGAGAATATGGAAAAGCCAAAATATGCTGAAATATTTTGGCAAATGCAAAAACAATTTCAGCTAATAACTATGGTCCTGCTACCCAATTATATAAATATAGTAATATTAAATATAATATAATAATAATATGTTAATAGTTAATAAATAAATTATAATAAAAATTATAATGTTTGTGTTGCTGCAGGATGAAGAATACATCATTCATCCTACAATATTATTTGTATTTTATTTGGAATCATCCTGATAGAAGGTTCATGAAGGAAACCAGTTTATTTTGGGGTTTTACACTGAAAAATTTTATTTTAGTAATGCAAAATAAACCATTACACATTTTTATGTATTTGGATTTTACAGAATAGGAGATTCTGTTCTTGATAAAGCTAAAATTCGATCTGGCCACAAATTTCCAAATCCCAATTTTGGTGTTACACATACCCATCATCAAAATCACATTACAAAGTCAATGCTTGCTTATTTTATTGCAATAAAACATGAACTGACTTGGTCATAGAAGAAGAGGTAGAGAAAAATCAAAAATAATATTTGTTTATTATCACCACAAATTATCAAGATTTAATCTATTCATTTTATTCTTTATACAACAGTTGTTGTTGTTTAAGACTTAAGATTTTTCCATAAAAATTACCCATGTTATTTGTTCCAATAATATATTCACCATCATCTGCTTCTATACTAGAAATATCATAGTCACCTATAAATACAAAAATATAATGTGTTACTCCTCCTTTGTTTTTCACTTTTCTTTGATGTTCATTGAAATATGTTGCTGACAACTTTTTGTTATTTTCACGTTTTTTGCTTTCAAAATATACTCTAATGACACCACTCCCATCCTCCTTCTTAAAACTAAACCATGAATCAGGAAATGGATCACTTCCACAGCCAATAATCATCTCTTCTCCAATATGATTTTTTCCTTTGTACCATTCATGAAGTACTTTTGGATTACTTAAGTTCTCAGGAACAAGGAGTGCCATTTTTCCAACTTGTCCTTTAAGTCCAGGAAATATTTCTGTGAGATAAAAGGTCCTGCGTCTTTTAGCTTTGAGCAACAATAGCTTTAATGTCATCATTGCTAAATCACTTTGTTCATTACTATGAGATGATGATGGCAATCCATCCCAGAAAAGTGTATGTAAATAATCAAGTATTGTTCCATCTGTATTTTTTTATCCTTTGCAACCATCTGGAGTATGACAAAAGGAATTATGATTTGACCTTTTTTATCAATAATCATAGAACCATCCTTCTCCAAATTACCAAAAGTTGTATTTCCAATACTCATGTCTTCTTGGACTTGAAAATCATTTACAATATAAGCCAAGATGACTAAAAAGTCATCAGCACTAAATTTGCTTAGAGAAGTAATATATTGAACAAAATTCTTGAGAATAATAGATTGTAACAACTGTAATAATTTCTTGAGAATAATATTGTCATTCCGGACCCAGACACTTTACCAACACCCACTTTACCAACAGGACACTTTACCAACACCCACTTTACTGACAAGACACTTTACCAACAGGACACTTTACCAACACCCACTTTACCAACAAGACACTTTACCAACAGGACACTTTACCAACAGGACACTTTACCAACAGGACACTTTACCAACAGGACACTTTACCAACAAGTATTGTGTTAACAGTTTGCCAAGGACTGTGTGAAGACCTGGATAATTAGCTAAAAATTTGGTTTTTTACAACAAGTTAAATCAACCGTTAATTAACTAATAACACCACTTATTACCCTTACTTTGCATCAAAAACAAGTTCATAAAAATACAATATAGATACATGTGTAATATTTTTTTTTGTCTGACGAAATTGATAAAAATTGCATATTCATGTTATTTTTAATTGTATTTTTAAAAAAAATAACAAAAAAAAAATTTTAAAATGAAATATTATGGGCAATGCCCCGAAGAAACTCTATAGTTGATCTAATGTTACGGTCATTTAATACTGTTTGAATCCGTATTCCACGATTACGATCTTGTTGTTTCTGTGGAGGTTGTGATGTTCCTCGAAAGACCATTTCTATGTCAAGTTCGTCTTTACTTTGATTGTCGGTAAAGTATCCTGTCGGTAAAGTGTCTTTTCGGTAAAGTGTCCTGTCTGTAAAGTGACTTGTTGGTAAAGTGGGTGTCGGTAAAGTGTCCCAGATCCCCTCCCATTGTATCAGACATTTTTGATTAGATATTAAAATGATTTAAACACAATTTTTTTTATTAATCCGAATTCTTAATTTCTGGTTATCTGAACTATTATTTTTGGAAACTTGATAATTTAAATTTTAGTCGGAGTTAATAATAATATTATGCGTTAAAAAAAATCATTAAAAAAGCATATTTCTTCTATATAAATAAAAAAATAAAAAAATTAATTACTGAACTAGAATAATCTTTTTTGAGTGTATTATATAAACACATAAATTATAACATAGATAACTTTTTCCTTGATGATAGAAGATTTCAGGTGTATCGAATACCAAATTCACAGTTTTAGAACCCGAAAAAGATAGAGGTATCCGGCACTACATGTTAATAAAAGTACATGCTTTAGATTTGTATCTAGATATAGATAATGAAGAGGGCCATGAGTCCTATCCAGTTAGGGCGTTAATTCATTCATCATTAGTAAAAACTTAGTTGATAAATGCGGAATAAATATATTATTCCTGATTCTTCAGAG